TATTGGTCCATTTACGTCAAATTGGCAAGTTAAAAAAGCTTGACAAATGGGTACCCACGATCTCAATGATCGCCAGCTCGAAGTACGCGTCGAAACGTGCCTTGCACTGCTCAGCAGGCATACAAATGAAGGATTCTGAACTGCATTGTTATTTGTGACGGGAAATGAATCTTGTTTAACAATCGTAAGCGCTCAGCAAGTTGGCTGGACCCTGGTTCAGCACCCAAACAAAGCCCTAAACAAAAACTTACCCCTAGTGGTGGTCACTGTTTTGTGGCCTAACGCGGGTGTAATTCATCACAACAGAAAAAAAAATCAATACCCGAGAGGCAGTACAAAATGCTTTTGAAGAATTTGTTGCCTCCTGTCCAGGTAACTTCTTCAAGAAGGGTATCGATAAGCTGAGCTACCAATGCGTTGACAAATATGCATTGATCAAAGTGATAGGAATAAAAAATATAGCAATAAGATACGCTTCATTTATTTCATGAAAAACGGTAATTTCATAAGTAAAGACCCAATATTTTTTTTCACATAATTGTTGTTAAACAAACAAGATAAACATATAACACACATTACTGTCACTGTCAATTATAAGTTTATAATGACGACATATTTGTCTCAGCAATAGCAAAATGCAATTCAAATCGTTTACATTTTCAGAATTGCCATTACAATTAAATATACAGAAAGCACATAATTAAGGAACTTTAGAAGCTACAAGTTAAGGAACGTTCTCTGCTATCTTTATTTTGGTGAAGAATTTTAGTATAGTGGAGTACCTAGAGAAGTTGAAATCAAATGAATTGTTTAAATTATCATATACATATTAAAATTTATCGATGAACAGATATACTTAAATAAATAAGAATAATACTTAAATATTATTCTTTTTATTGGTGATAAAACTTTATTATATAAAAATCATAAAAATGCAGAACATTACTAAAAATTTTGAAATAAGGCTGTCTCCTTGGTCATTAACAAAGAAACGATGTATTAACTGGACAACCCTCGCAAATATCACTTATCACGACTCATTGTCCTCTTATTTTGCTCAGTCGAGCGATTACAGCACACGTGCGTGTCCGAGTCGAATTTGAGGCTTCCTGTTGGAATTCGTTCCTTTGTGGCCAGTAGGATTTTGGTCTTCGTGTGGTGAACACAGTTCTTATATCACCTTTTCTTGTCTTTAATAAATTAAGACAATGGAATTTAGGCTGACTATCTTCTTCTGTTTAGTAAGTATATTAAGTGTGTTTTTATTCACCTATTATAATTGTTTCCGATGAAACTTATGATTAATTGGTAGCTACGTAAGTATTAAGCCTATGCTGTTTTCTTTCATTGCTAAAACTACATTATAAGTACTTATTTCAGCGCCTGAATGTATAATACAAAATTTCTTTATGTAATTTCATTACGACGAAGATTTTGGAGTCTCACTGAAATAAGTAAAAAGCTTGATACTTATCATCAGATTTTTAAATAATGTATTATTATATATAAATGGTATTTATTGGAACGATAAAGGATATCAATAACAACCTTATTTATTGCTTCTTCTGTAAGCTTTCTATGATAAATTACAATTACTATTCTAGCAATATGGTTACAGTGAATATTTGTTTTGTCTTTAAATGTAGGAGACTGATGTATGTACCTACAATCTTGCACTTCTTACTATTAAGCTATAGGTACTGTGGGTATCAGGTTTATGACTATTTCGTTTTTGAATAAGTTGACAAAAAGTTTCCTCGAAGTTCGTTATTAACTTATAGAGATAGCTCTTGGTGATTGGCGAAAGAAAAGAGCGCCTGCTAAAGTCTTAATGTTTATATATTTGTGTGCTAATGACGCCGATTTACGCGTGGACCCTTTGTGATTGGGAAAATATTTGGAAAGCTGGTTTCTGGTTTTTGGCAATGAGGTTTTTCACTTTTCATAAGGGATGAGCTATTCCAGAATTTAAGAATTTTTAATTGCATCTAAAAAATAAGCATTGAGTTTATAGCCTTACGACTAAACTAACCCTAAATTGGTTCAGCAAAGCGATTCCGTAAAAATTCGGACCCGAATTCGAACACTCAGGTGTCCAAATTCACTTCAAAAGCGACATCTGCTTAATTTTCAATTAGTATCAACGTTTCGTGGCATAACTGAAGTGAGTTTCGAAATTATATAGGGTTTCAATATCTGGGACAAGTGAATCAATCAATCTTGATTTGCATTTTTATACAAAAATGGAATCGATAGAATTTCTATACTAATAAAGCGTATTTACTTACTTATGCAGTCACTTATGACATGAAAGATTTATACCAATTCAAGGTTAAGCGGATGTTGCTTTCGAACTGAATTCGGTTACCTGAATGATTTCGAATTCGGGTTTGAATTTTTACGGAATCCCTCTGCTAGGATTAAAGAAATAGTGGTATATAATTTTTGAGTTTCTATCGCTGGACTGAAGTCTAGACTGAATAACTGATATTGAATTTGAATTTCACTGTTGATAAATCTAATTAACAACTTTATAAGTCACATGAAACAAAGAACTCTTTGTTGATACACAAATTTAATTCAGCCATCCTTTAAAAAAGTCATTAAGACCTGAGGAATTCTGCTCTATTTAAAATGATGATGCTTAGTTATACTCATTTTAAAAAGAGGTTAACTGTCTTATTTTGTTTCTTTTTTGTTTATAGGAGGTTATCCTCAGAAATATTTATCCGATCATGAGAATTCTATACTTACTAGAAGCGACATCATAAGCTATAAAATACGCAAGCGAAGTCGTAGGAAAACAGCTGATTATTTATTTTACCTAATTTTCGTATGTGTCAATGACATTTTAACTGCTAATTAATAAATTTTTCAGCTCGTTGTTATAATCGTGTCAGCATATCCAACAGAAAATAATAATGTTAGGGATAAACGAGATGTGATGGAGTCGATGAAAAATGCCTGGAATGAAGTAGTGAAGACGCTCAGTGACGCAGGAGATGCAGTGGTACACGTTTTCAAACCAACAGAGAAAAGCGTCCTTGACAAGATGGCGGACGGAGTAAAAAACCTCGGACAATAGAACAGTAATTTTCGAGAATTTATGTGATCAAATAAATATTGAGTAATTTTGTGTGCTGATATGAGAAACTAAATCAATTTTTATTTTTTTAAATAATATATTAACGAAGCAAAATTTCGAAACAGATGCAAGGTCATGTGATTTTTATAGTTTGTAACCTAGAATTAAAAATATTGTGATTAAACCCATCAATTATCAATTTCAATGAGTTCAACATAATTGAAGATCTTCTTAAAGAAAAATATCAGTACAGCATTGTCAATGGACAATCGATCAAATGTTATAATTAAAATATCTTCTGCTTGGGTCTTAATATACATGTACGTTCTACGTGAATGTATTATTTATATTGGTAAGATATTCTGATGGCTAAAAAAGCATTTGGGTAAATTATCTAATATCAAAATGTATCACAATCTCTTTTAAAGGTGCAATTTGTGGAATTATGTGTCGTTTAAAGTCACAATCGTCATCGGAACGAAGAAAACATAATGAAAATTTAGTAACTTAAACAATTTCAATTAACGTTAAATTGACGATATCGTTTGTTCAATATCTGTCAAAAAAATGTCAACTAGTTGCAGAGTCAAATTATTGAATTTATTTCAAATGACAAATTGAAAGGGATTGCGGTAGATATTAAAATGAGACAATTAGACCCCTGGGTCGTATTTGATAATCTAGGTCATGTTCTACATGAGTACCGGTTTTAGCTACTTTGGCGACATCGGTAAGCCGAGTTTAGTACTTTTGCATTTATAACAAGTAACAATAGCTATAATATTATTCTGCTATAAAAGGCGTCTAATTCGTCGGTGAACACAGCGCTGCATATCACAGAGTTTTAATGAAAATAAACCTTATAATCGTTGAAGCAGGTTTTATTTCTTTGTATCTGTGTCACTGGGTTGTGTTCCACGACCAATTCGAGGCTGTTTTTTATAACTGAATAGCACTACATTAGAAATAACCTAATTTAATAATCATTGCACTAAAAATTTGTATAATTCTCTACATTTTTTCATGTGTTGTTTGGGAAAAATTTCGAGTTTAAAATTACTTGTTTTAATAGTGATGATTAGTAAAATAGGTGTTAATATAATTATATCTTTTATTAAAATAATTCATTGTATTCCCTTAGTGACAGCATTACAGGTTAATCTTATAAAATTACCGGACAAAGGGAAAGAGATAAAACGTTTATAAATATTTATAATAATAGAACTGTTACATTGTAAAATAGTTTAATATGTTTAATAAGATTTTATAAAAAAAGAAATATTATTTCATATGAATTTAAAATTAAAGGATAAAATAATACGACTATAATTGTGAAATATGACAACAACCAGTTTCTGAATTAAGAAAAATACAAAATCACCAATGATATTATTCTTTAGGGTTCTCAAGTCAAAAAGTCCTATTTTATAAAATTGCCTTCAAATAATCATTAAAAAAACTAACGAAAAACTGTTTAAGGGACTGTTTAAGTACAGTTTGAGACGTTTTCAACTTCAAATTCTTAATTCAGACGCCGGGTGTAATTTTTTTCATATCGTTGATTTAATTCAATAAACAAGTTATCAGAACACGTTCCATAAGTTATTGCACAATCTTTAGCAGACATTGTTACGTAAGTGTTGTACCTATGCCATAAGAATATTGGAATACTATAATTTTGTAATATTCTCTACATCTGTATTCGCTTTCATTAACGCTAGAAATAAGGATAATTATTCTGAATTGTATCGTTCTAATTCAGATTAGCAATGCAAGAGTTGCACAGAAAATATATTATAAATTGAAATGAAAAATATGTACTCTACTTAACTTAAGAGAATTTGTTAAAACAGGGGATAAAAATAGTTTATGAGATTAAATGAATAGTAACCTTATTCGTATTTATTTTATTTTTAAAACTAAATTTGTTTATACAATAGTATTATTTCGGCGAAATGTGAATGTGTGAATGGATACAGTATGTAAATATTTTGTGACATTTGCATTAATTTCTAAACATCACTGTGGTATGCAGCGTTTGAGCATACGTTGGTTTCGTCATCCATGATACCATCCCTAAAGTGGATATCAGCGGTATTCTCATTGAATATCTCTATAAGCTTATCTGTTCCCGTGTCCATTTGATGTGTCGGGCTCTCGGGATAGTCTGGTCTTTTCACGTAATCATCTTTCTGCTTACGACGAGACGGCAGTATGAATATACCAGCAGTTATCTCTTTCTTTTCCATCACTTTTTCATTCTGCGGTGGTTGCTCAAATTCTCTGTGCTGTAGATCTGATATGTTGTACTGATAAAACTCAGATTTGTGCCTCTCTCTGACGAACATGCAGTACGCTATCCATATGACAACTAACGCTGCCTGAAAATAAAAAAACATATCGTTTATAAAAAAACTTTTTACTAAAAATCGTGAGAAATCAATGGATTACAACTTACCAGGACAAGAGCGACGATGAAGCCAGCAATGTACATCATTCTTTTTATTTTTATTTATAAAAAGTAAGAGACGGTTGTCTCAAACGAGGTTAGATTGGAACAGTCGCCAGCGGTCGGTCTGCTCCAACGTCGGTCGTATTCAATTAAAAACGCTCCTTTAGTTCGTGATGTCACCGAGTAGTCAGAATTTAATTTCTTCATTGAATGGAATGTTATCTATACTATTAGCATGGGACTGCAATAAATGAATCCGTTTGTATGTGATCTTTTCAAGTTCCTGCGTACTACGATTGCGACACAATTGATAATTTTACTACAAAAGCATTATTGTTGTGAACGTCGAGTCGTAAATTTGATTGTTAAATGTCGTTGATTTAAATAATCACCTTGACCTAACGGCTATTAACTATATAGGACACGTTCACGGGACGGAAATAAGATACGTCAACTGGATTGAACGTGCAGAGGCGAGAAGCGTAATAGCAGTTGACAATATCAATGTGTGCGTAGGTTGCTCGAGTGCAGGCGTACTGCATGACTCAAGAAGTGCGCAGTTATTGTTGCCGGGCTTTCCTTTAGATTGGTAATTTCTCGAGCGATGACCTATTATGCCTATGCATATATAGCTATTTAAAAAAAAAAATAGTGACAGAATATCTGTTGTTTATTACGCATCAGTATTTTGAGTGATTTTCTTAATCCGATATTTTTTACAGTTATGTTTCAGTAAACTTACCGTCTGTTGCACAAACGTTCATGAAGGTTTAATGACGCCTTTAAACTCTAATGAATGTCGAATTTGTATGGGTAATGTCGCTTTAATGACAATTTTAATGAACGTTAGTGCGACTGGCGATTACTTACTCATTATAATGAAATAAACTATATATGTAATCAAATGTTTATTCATCATTACTAGCCTATTAAAGTCGCTATTGCTGGGGTACAGGCCTGTCTTATGGACGGAAGCGAATGATCGAATAGGGAGAATGGGTCATGACCCCCAAACACCACCCACCGCGGTTTGGTGAGTGTTAACTGCAAATGCAGCTGAGACTAACTGCTTAACGTACCATCCAAATTATGGAGGTGTAATTTTAATTTTTTTGTCACCCATCCTATAACTGGCCTTTTCGAAAATTGCTTAAAAACCGTTTCGCAGATGGAACACGCTAACCACTGCGCTTTACAATGTTTTTTATTGGTTAATATTCTTAATGAAAAAATATTAAAAATATCACGATGTCTCTGGCAGTCTGATTTAGGACTTGAACCTATGACCTTTCGCTATCCAGACGACTGCTCTAAATACTGAGCTACCCAGGACTTAACATGACTGACGAATTTTTCAAGCCACTTGTTACTTTTTCGCTACTGCAGAGCGTATTTTCATCAATTGTTAAATATAATTTGAATTTCGCGCCTTTTTAAAGCCAACTCACGTTTGGCCATATACTTATTCTCTCTCTATGATCTGCTCTGTGACACCATTTTTCATACGTGTGTAATTTTTATTAAATAAAATAATCCAGTGATTAAACAACAGTTTAGTTTGATTAATTATATCAGGTTATGGGCCCAGAAAACCCCAGAAATAAGGACAGTGCAAAATCTTTCAATAAAAACTGTTACAATAAGATATTGAATGTGGACATAACCTCAATCGCCGGGAAATATTTTTTCATAGACCTCGTGGTGAAGTGTTTTGTTGTAAAACAGTACAGTTTTTAAAAATGACAGGAAACAATCAAATGTCAGTTATTGAAAAACTATCAGGCCGTGAAAATTACGCAACTTGGCGGTTTGCAGTACAAACTTACCTGCAACACGAAGAGTTGTGGGACTGCATTGAATCGGGTTCAAACACTCCAGTGGATATGAAACGAGATATAAAGGCTAAAACAAAGATAATTCTTTTAGTTGATCCTACAAACTATGTACACATTCAAGAAGCAAGCACTGCCAAGGAAGTATGGAATAAGTTATCGACAGCCTTCGATGACTCTGGGCTTACACGCCGTGTAGGACTACTGCGTGATCTGTGTAACACGTCGCTAACTGGATGTCAAAATGTAGAAGAATATGTGAGCAAAATAATGAGTACAGCCCACAAGCTCCGTAACATTGGTTTTAAGGTAGATGATGAGTGGCTCGGCACACTACTGCTCTCCGGTCTGCCTGAATCTTATCAACCAATGATTATAGCTATAGAGAGCTCTGGCATGAAGATAACCTCTGATTCTATTAAATCAAAGCTATTACAAGATGTAAGACAACCCGAGAACACATCTACTGCATTTGTGGCTAATAAAAAAACACAAAACAATAACAAGAAACCATCAAAAGGCCCTAGGTGCTACACTTGTAACAAATACGGTCATAAAAGTCCTGAATGCAAATCCAAAACCAAATATACACAACATAAGTCAGGCAATTCATCTTATGCTGCTGTGTTTATTGCGACTTCAACTCAAGATGATGCATGGTATGTGGATTCTGGCGCCTCCTCACATATGACCAGACATAGGAGCTTACTGCAAAATGAATCAACTCCTACCATAGAAAATATAAGAGTTGCAGATAATAAAGTATTATCTGTGCAAAGCTCGGGAGAAGTGAGTTTAGATATTTATAATAATAAAGGTGAAGAAAAGAAAGTGCTCTTTACAAATGTGTTATGTGTTCCTGAACTTGCCACAAATCTTATATCAGTGAGTCAAATTATAAGAAGTGGTGGACAAGTAAGATTTGATGAAACAGGATGTGCTATTATAAACAGTAAAGGTCAGATAGTAGCAACAGCTAGTTCAATCAACAACATGTATCGGTTGAATATGCCTGGAAGAGGCTATGCATGCATGTCTGATGTTAAAGAACAAGATGTTTACACATGGCATCAGCGAATGGGACATCTAAATTTTTACAGTCTCAGCAAAATGACTGAAAATACTAACCATGTAAGTTTTCCAGAAAAATTGAAAAATCTGACATGTGTTACATGTAAAGAAGGTAAACTGACACGACTACCTTTTAAGAGCGAGGGCTCAAGAGCTAAAAATATTCTTGATTTAGTTCACTCAGACATATGTGGACCTATGGAAACAGAAACACTAGGAGGTGCTAAATACTTCATAACGTTTCTTGATGACTGTTCAAAGAAGATATATGTATACTTTCTCCGGAACAAGTCTGATGCCCTGGAAAAATTCAAAGAATTTAAACATGAAGTAGAGAATCAGAAGGATGCTCGTATAAAAGTTCTTCGGACAGACAATGGTTTAGAATATATCAACAAGAGTTTCTCTGATTATCTGAAAGGTGCTGGTATCATACACCAAACCACCACACCGTATTCACCAGAACAAAATGGGACTGCAGAACGCATGAATAGGACTCTCATTGAAAGAGCGAAATGTATGCTACTTAATGCCAATTTGTCAAAACAATACTGGGGTGATGCAGTACACACTGCTGCCTATATTGTCAATCGTTCTCCAACTAAGTTGTTGTCATTTAAAACACCAGAAGAAATTTGGACAGGACAAAAACCATATGTGAATCATATGCGTATATTTGGGTGTGAAGCGATGGTTCACTTGCCAAAAGAAAAGCGAAAGAAATGGGACCCAAAGGCACAGAAAATGATCTTTATTGGATACTGTGATCACACCAAGGGTTACAGATTTATAATACCTGGTACACGAAGAGTAGTAAAAAGCAGGGATGCTATATTTTTAGAATCTACTGTGAACAGAAATTGTGTTCCTGTAGAGTTGTCAACGAATTCTGCAACAAATAATGATAATACTATCCAGAAAATAACAGGAGAAGAAAATACGCAGAATGATTCAATTTCAGAGGGTTCATATGATACTGTATGTGATAATAAATCTACTTCAGATAGTGATTACTTACCTGACACTAGTATTGAGTCTCTTCCAATCAGCAAAGTCACATTGAGACCTAGAAATAAAGAAAATAAACATATCACAAATGAAAACAGTTCTGATGAAAGTACTTACCTGTGTCAACATGATGAAATGCTTGCAGATGTTCCAAAAACATACAGAGAAGCCATAAAATCAACTGACAAAGAAAAATGGGAAATATCAATAAGTGAAGAACTAGATTCCCATCAGAAAAACAATACCTGGACATTGGTCAAAAAGCCCCCAAATGCAAAAATAATTGGATGTAAATGGGTGTTTCGAGTCAAAAGCGAACCCACAGGTCCACGTTACAAAGCAAGACTATGTGCCAAAGGATATGCACAAACTGCAGGTATCGATTATCAAGAAACCTTTTCACCAACTGTGAGGTATGATTCGATTCGATTATTGTTATCCACAGCCATTCAAAACAATCTCAAAATTATGCAAATTGATGTTAAGACGGCTTTCTTGTATGGTGAACTTGAAGAAACTATATTGATGTGTCCGCCAGAAGGCCTGCCCTGTGGAGAAAATATGGTATGTAAACTTAACAAATCTTTATATGGGCTAAAACAAGCTCCACGTTGTTGGAATAATAAATTTAATTCAGTATTAAAAAAATTTGGCTTTGTTAATAGTAAAGCTGATCAATGTGTTTATGTTGGTCAAGTTAATAATAAGAAATGCTACTTTTGTCTGTATGTGGATGATGGATTATTATTTTCAGTAGATGAATTAGCATTAAAAGAAATAACCAAAGAATTAAATACCATCTTTGAAATTAAAGTGTATGGCACTCCAAGCAACTTTGTGGGAATGCAAATAGAAAGATTTAATGATTATATATTTATACATCAGACTAAATATATCGAACAAATGTTAAATAAATTCAACATGATTGATGCCAATACCAACAGTATTCCAGTTGATCCTCACATGAAGCTTCAAAAAGGAGAAGGAGAACTCGAGAAAGATATTCCATACAGAGAGGCTGTTGGCTCCCTTATGCACCTAGCTACTGTGAGTCGACCAGATATCATGTTTGCTGTCAGTTTGGTGAGTCGTTTTCTTAACTGTTACACTCAAATGCACTGGAATGCCATCAAAAAGATTTTCAAGTATTTGAAAGCTTCCCAAAACTATGGACTATGCTATAAAAAGACTACACAAACA